GTCTCCCACGGTGAACAAAGAGGAACCCACGTGGCTGGCCCAAGGTGAAGGGCCGGCCTGAGGTGGCCGCTCCGAGTGGGCTTGGGGAGCCCACTTCGGATGTGTGCTGGTGGACTGCAGCGAGTGGGGACTCGCGCACCCTCTACCGCTGCAGCCGAGGTGGAGTCGCGGAGGAAGAGGAGTGTTGGTATGGCGATGCGCCACTCGCCCTATCCTTCGCGACTCAAACGGGGCCGCACCGTTGATGCGGTGGTGGTGGGGCTGCGGGGGGAGAGGATTGTCGGTATTGCGAGGCGCCGCTCTCCCTACCCTCCGCAGCCGAATCTTGGTTGGCGGCGGAGCCATAGACCAGATCCGCCGCTGGGGTCGGGAAGGCTAGTACTTCTAAGTGCTCGTTTTTCCTGGCCCCATGGCCTTTGTGCATCGGACGCGGGGGCGTCTGTTGCACAGACGTAGTTGGAGGCCGTGGAGGAAGGCGCGCCATGTGTTCTGGTGCGCCTTACCTGGGAAGGAGAACGGCGAGGAGCTGCCATGGGGCGGCAGGCGCTAGTAGGGCCGCGGATGTGTGCGAAAGCGTTCCCGTAGCCCTGCCAATATGCGACAAAGGTGGAACACCATGGGGTTTTAGTCGGTGCGAGTCCGACATAACCCGTCCTTGCCCCCGCGAGGCGGGTATGCGTAGGCATTTCCCCATGCAAAAAAAAAAAAAAAAAAAAGGGGCAACTCCTCGCATACCGCGCCTTACGCACTGGAAACCGTATTGGGCTATGTGATCCTTGGCTCCGCCCCCATCCTAGATAGTATTTCGGCAGCATCTTATTGTGGTATGGCTGTCGAACCGCTCGAGTCGTTAGTCCGCAAATTTTGGGAGATGGAGGAGGTGAACGTCCCACCCATAGCTAGTTCAGCTGACAGGATATGCGAGGAAATTTACGTCCGCACGACCGTTCGTGATCGCGACGGTAGATATAGTGTAGCGCTACCCTTTAAGGGAGATGTTTTATCTCTCGGCGATTCGCGTCAAATGGCGGAAAAACGTTTCTACAGCTTGGAGCGTAGGATGCCCGCTTCGCCCCAGTTAAAGGAAGCTTACGACGGCGTCATTAACGAATATATAAGAGAAGGTTACATATCACTTGTGGCTTCGAAATTAGATAACTACGAAGACACACCGTCGTATTTTATACCACACCACGGAGTCATTAGAGAGGACAAACTTACATCTAAATTACGTGTAGTGCTCGACGCTAGTGCTAAAACTAGCACTCACCTGTCGCTTAACGATATCCTCTATAGTGGGCAAAATTTACAGGGCAGCTTATTTGATATAATAGTCAATTTTCGTTTGTTTAGTATAGCACTATCCGCCGATATTCGCCAAATGTTTCTTTGCATAGGGGTCCGTGAATGCGACCGTAGATTCCAGCGCATTTTATATCGTTTCAACCCAAAGGAACCTCTAATGGTGTTTGAATTTAACCGCGTTTGTTTTGGTTTAAAGTCGAGCCCATTTCATGCGTTACGCACGGTGAGACAGCTCGCTCACGATGAAGGTCCCTCTTATCCTAAAGCTAAGAGGGCAATTGAGAGCGGATTATATATGGATGATTTTGTGTATTCGGTCGATAGCGTGGAGGAGGCCACCCTAACCACCGCCGAGGTTATAAGGCTCATGAAATCGGGTCAATTCGATCTTGTGAAGTGGACTAGTAATTCGCGTCCGGTTTTAGATACAATCCCACTATCACACCGTCTTTCGGCGATAAAGGAATTCGACGATTCCGATACACACAAGGTGCTCGGTCTGTGTTGGTCACCAGAGTCCGACGTGTTTAGCCTTAAGGTAAATCCGCCCGTAGAGAAATGCACAAAGCGCACAATACTGTCATGCGTTGCTAGATTATGGGACGTCATGGGTTTCGTAGCTCCGGTGGTATTATACGCTAAGCTTTTGATTAAACAACTTTGGTTATTTGAATGCGATTGGGATGACTCGCCGCCTGACAGCATTGTTCGATTGTGGCAGCGCTTTAGAGAGGAACTTCCTTTACTAAGAGAAATTAAAATACCGCGTCATATAAATGTCGATAGAAATAGCAGCATAACGGTTGTTGGATTTGCAGACGCCAGCGAGAAGGCTTACGGGGGCGTTGTATATTTCCATGTCCAGAATAATGGTAGAAATTCGATTAGCCTCATTAGTTCTAAGTCGAGAGTCTCCCCCCGTAAGGTTGTCTCTCTGGCGCGCTTAGAGCTTTGCGCAATATTAGTACTCACCAAGCTTATTACCACAGTTATCGGCGCATGTAGGGATAGAGTTCACATAGAAAGAATATTTGCCTTTTCCGACTCCACCGTCGCCTTATGTTGGGTTCATTCTTCACCCCACCGTTGGGATACGTTTGTCGCGAACCGAGTGGCCAAGATCCAAGACGAGTTAGAAACGCGGAACTTTTATCACGTGTCCGGTAAGGAAAACCCTGCCGATTGTCTATCCCGGGGACTCACCCCGATGCAAATAATGGACCACCCGCTTTGGTTCCATGGACCTTCTTGGGTTCACTTGGATCCCTCACAATGGCCAATAACCGATTTCGAACCTTCGTCAGTGTCACAACCGCCGGAAGAGAAGAGACACGCTCTAGTGGCGAACGTTTCGAGCGAGGTTTCTCCAATCATTGCTCTGGCGAACCGCTTGTCCTCTTGGTCGAAATTATTGCGTAGCGTAATTTACGTTTGTCGATTCGCGAAGCTTTTACCGCGACGTTCGTATGTCTTAGCATCCGATTACAACTATGCCGAGTCGCTAGTATTACGTGAACTTCAACGTGCACACTTCTCTGAAGAAATTACAAGATTACAATCGAATAGAGCTTGTAGTCGCGCCTTTCAACGCCTTAAGCCATTTTTACAGGATGGGATTGTAAGGGTAGGTGGACGCTTGTCCAACTCGCAGTTGAGTTTCGACCAACGGCACCCTATAGTTTTACCGCGTAAAGACCATATCATGAACTTATTAGTCGATTATCATCATAAATTGAACTCGCACGCTGGCCCCGATTTATTGATGTCGATCTTGCGTCAGAATTATTGGATTCTTTCTGCACGTAGTTTAATACGCAATCGGGTGCACAGATGTATAGCTTGCTTTCGGGCACGCCCCAAGCCGTCATTTCCGGAAATGGCGGAACTTAGATCTTGTAGAGTGATACAATCGGTAAAGCCCTTCACGCACACCGGGTCTGATTTTTGCTGGTCCGTTTAAGGTCACGCTCACTCGCGGGCGTGGTATAAGATCCACAAAGGCTTACGTCTGCATTTTCGTATGTCTAACTACTCGAGCAGTGCATATAGAACTCGTTGGTGATCTAAGCACAGCAGGCTTTATGGGTGCATTTAAAAGATTTCTATCGCGCAGAGGCCCTGTAAGTAGATTATATTCGGATAACGGTACGAACTACGTCGGTGCAAAAACGTATTCTATCGGAACTACATGAGCTCTTAGCTAGCAAGTATTATAATTCGGAGTTCGCTCACATTCTAGCCGAGAACCGCATTGAGTGGTCTCTGAACGTCCCAGCCGCGAGTCATTTTGGGGGCAATTGGGAGACTAATATTAAAAGTCTAAAGAGCCACTTATACCGAGTAATAGGAGATCAAATTTTGTCCTTCGAAGAGCTAAGTACGGTGCTCGCTCAAATTGAATGCGTAATGAATAGCCGCCCACTTTGTCGGACGTTATCTAGTGACCCCTCGGAACCGCTGGCTCTAACTCCAGCACATTTTTTGACTTTAACGCCTCTAAGGTATCTGCCCGCCGCGGATATGGATGAGAACAGACTTAACATTTCCACACGCCACAAATTATTAGATCGGTTAGTGCAATCGTTTTGGAAACGATGGAGGATGGAATACTTGCATACTTTGCAGTCTCGGCAAAAATGGAACACAGCGACAGAGCCTTTAGCTGTAGGAACCGTAGTTGTGCTCACTAAGGAGAATACGCCGCCTCTCCACTGGCCGTTAGGAATCGTCGAGGAGGTCTTTCCCGGTTCCGACGGAGTAATTAGGATAGCTCGCGTTAAGACCACGGTTGGGTCTTACCTACGTCCGGTTATCCGTTTGTGCCCCTTGCCTCTTCCATAATTTAAATTAGCTTTTTTGACTGAAATTGTAGTTTAATTTAGGTAATCTTAGCGTTAGTTAGTTATTTGTTAGTCGATCTTAGCTCTAGTTGTTTAGTTATTTTTTTTTGAAGGAAATCCTTCAAGGGCGGGGGAGATGGTTGCGCGGAAAAACCATTCGCGTTTTTTATTTTTGACGGTAGGAATTTGTCGAATCATTATTCCCTTCCGAAACAATATCATTCGTACCCTCCTATCGACACATCGGGGTGGTGGGGTGGGAGGGGAAAGAAGACGATTCTAGAACATCGCCTAATCATCGGACCCGAGGATATATAAGACACGCGCGACCGACGCGCGCTCTCTCCTCCCGCCGCAGTCGTCGTTGAACTACAACCTCCTCTTCCCGCGCGCTTGGAAACACCTCACTAGTGGAAACCGCTTTGGCCTGGAAGCAGTCGAGCTCCAGGAACCCGCCTCACCTCGTGTGAGATATCGTCGCGCACCGCCTCTCTCCGGAGTGTTCCGGAAGTCGCCGCTATAGTGATCGACAGGAAGAAGAAACCCCGGTGAGTCAATACTCCTTAATTATACCTGCTTGCTAATAATTTAACCCGCTCCAATTTGTGTTTTTTTCCTAGTCAAGCAGGATTCCTTTCATCGATTCGACAAGTAATAGTTTAGTTTAGGGAAGAGCGAGTGCATTGTACCGCATGCTATAGTAGTCGCTTCACATAAGCATAGAAGCAATCGCATATACAGTCCACTTTCCACTTTAGTTAATATCTCGCGTAATAGGTTTGAGGTTTGACCGGGGAACTAGATTTTCGGCAGCCTTAAACACGTGGCTCCACCAAATACTGATACTTCTTAATTATGTTGGCATTTTTTTTGGCATTTTTTAGAGAAGGTAAGCATATTTTTGGCATATTTTTTACACCAGTCTAGCATATTTTGAAGTAGTTGAGTTGGCAACGCTACTAACGGCTTGCACTGGCTTGCACCGCGGCCATTACACAACGACACAGTTCATTAAGTAAAAAATTCAAAGGTTATGTACAAAAACTTATATAATAATAAGTTTTACGTGTGTTACTTTTTATTATATATGTGTTATGTATGTATTATTTGTGTATGTTATATATACGTGGTATTCACCAGGATCTAAGATCAAAGTAACTGCCTTACCAGGGTGCATATCTCACGTTGTTTACAGAAGCTGAAATCACGACCGGTCAGTAATTTTTCTTTTTATTTTTTTGCTAATTGATTGTTTCTATAAATATACATCCTATGAAAGCCTGCTGCTGACCATAGGCATTCCCCATAGATTGCCACTTAGGGAAGATTTTGTCATAGTTGCCGCAAGAGTAGTGTATATGCCTTGGTTTTCAAACTTGGCAGGCACATTGATTGTCATTTTCCATTAATTTTATTAATATGAACACCAGTAATGTCATATATACATATTGTACATACAGTAGTCTAAAAACTCTTACAATGCAATATATGAAAGTTATGGTGACAATATCAAAGTGTCACTACAAGTATAAACTATCATTTATATTTGTACCCTAAATACTGTCCAAATAAATATAACAAAACAAAAAAATGGTTAATTCCCCAGCGTGTATATTATAGTACTAAATTATAATTTACTTGGTTATGTACATTATAAATTTATACCTACTTTGCTCTCAAGCATATAACCCTGACTTTATTGTGTAAAAAGTCGGAATTTCTCATAGAATTTATTTTATTTCAAATGAAAATATTTGAAAGACTATAGGTATAATCAATTAATGTATATGATTATCTGATCTTATCTGTTTTCATTTAAATATAAAAAACTCCATATTAATATTAGTAATGTTTATAGCATTGTTAATATTCTTTAAAAAAAATATATATATATAAGTACAAAAACACAAAACTAGTTAGTAACATATCCCTTCTTTTTAGTGCCAAAACATTTGGTGTTTCTTGTTTAATAGATGTTATCTATAAATAGAAAAGAACAAGTCTTATTATCATTAACAGTGGTGAATATTTTTTGATATAGTGCCTGTATAATGAAACAGTCATAGTAGACTTTTTTATCTTTATTTTGCTTTTTTTTATGGCAATATAGACTAGCTACACTGATCTTGTTAATAATAATATATTAAGGATCCTGCTTTTAATATAATTGTTTTATTTTTCAGAATATGTTGATTTGACCATTGACAACTCTTATTCCCAAAATAAAAAAAAACATGTAAACCACATTTGTGCTCAATTAATGGACAGCAACTCCCTGTTTCACCTGAATATATTAGAAGGTAAAACTTATTTACATACAATAGTACAATACCATTTCCTAAATATGTGCCACTTACACTCCTAGTAATTATAGACCTATAGCCCTATTACTCATATTTGTGAAAGTGTTTGAAAAAGCCATGTATATCAGATTATATGATTTTTTAGAAAAATATAATATTCTCGATGTCAGCCAAAATGGCTTTAGAAATTCAAGATCAATTACACTGGCAGTATATAAATATATCCAGACTGACTAAAACATATAAATGACAAGAAGTGTTGTACTAAGACTGTAAGAGTACTACTTGACATAAAAGCATACGATAAAATACTGTATGATATAATTTTACATAATCTACAGTTACATCTTAGTAAAAGTTCTAAATAAGGAACAAACATTGCCAATCTTATTTGCTGATGATATATCAATATTGATTACTTATGAAAAATTAAAAACCCAACACCAGTACTTCAGGAAACTAGACAGTAAATCAGTGGCTCAACGACCATTACTTAGAAATAAACTATGACAAAACAAAAACTAATGTAGAACATACAATAACACCCCCATAAATATTGACACAAGATACAACAACATATAAATAGAAACCGTGTATACATTCAAATTACTTAGTATAACTATAGACATGCACATCTAGTGGAAAACACACACTGAACATATTAAAAACAAACTAAATTCACATATACTCTATTCCAACTTAAATCGGCACCAAAGAAAAACCTACACTGTCAGCATACTATGCATATGCATACTCCTGGTTAAGATACGGCATTATGTTGTGGGGAAATAGTTTACACATTCAGGATCTAGTTATACTGCAAAAGAAATGTATCAGAATCATAAGCCAAATTCAAGATCTTGAATTGTCAAGTGAGTGAATATTCCTTACTAGTTACTGCTTGATATAATTGTGTCCGCTCAAATTTATTTTCTCCTAATCAAGCAGGATTCCTTTCATAGATTTGGCAAATAATAGTTTGTTTAGGGAAGAGCGAGTGCATTGTATGGGAAACCACGTGCTATAGTCACCATTTTATGTAAACGTAGAAGCATTTCGCATATACAGTCCACTTTGGTTAATATCTCGCGTAATAGGTTTAAGGCTCGACCGGGGAATTGGACTTCGGTAACCTTAACCTAGGGCGGTCACACAAAACCACATGTAAATGCAATAAATAAAAGGCAACCACAATTTAAATACACACCACAGAGACAGACTATACCTACCACCATTAAGAATTAAAGATTTTACATGGCTGTAAAACACAACATTTACAATAAATTACCTATCCACATAAAAACTGAAAATAAGATTACACTATTCATTAAAAAACTAAAGCATTCTTAATTGAAAAATGTTTCTACTCAATTAAAGAATATATTAAAGCACTAGTAACAAAACACAAATAAGAAATTACATATTTTTAACACAAATAAAATACATAAAAAAGAAAAAAGCTGTTTTGATACACAATAATATTATGGAGTATCAGTAAAAGAAAAAAATATGTGTTTATGTAAAATGTCACAAATACCTTTATTTTGCATGATTTAATAGTCTCTCTAATCTAATTTCTCTATAATTTTTGTATTTAATAACTTATTTTATCTATACTTTCTCAAATTTGCTATGCCTAAAAAAAGAAAACTATTGTAATGTGCCTCATTAATATGTCATTTTTATTTATAGGTATTCTGATGCCCATGACGCCATCTAATTTATAAAATATTAAAATGATGGAGGTTGACACCTCAAAAATTTTTGAGAGATGGTAAGTGATATTTTTGAAAGAAGGTATATTCAGATATATTTATTTGACTGAATATTTTGTGTGTTACACTCGATGACTTATTAGATACAGATTTAGTGTTTTAAGTAAATGATACTTTATGATTCCTTATATTTACTCGAACACTACACATTGAATAAAACTACTTGTAGAGATCTTATCGCGTTAAAGTTGATTTTAATTCCAGACATTTCAGGTGCTTTTCAGCACTCATGGTTATGGGGGACTGAGGTGATTGGCATCCCAATGTCAGTGTTACCCGAAGTATGTTCAGCTTTTAAAAGCTGGAAAGCACCCGAAATTAAATTGAATTAAATGAAACACGATAAAAGTAGTTATATTAAATGATACATTTTTAACATTACACTTGCATAATAATTTTTAGAATGTCTGAAACATAAGATGACATTTTGACTTTTAATAAATTGTTTTATTGCACTTGACATAACTAGTAGCAGTGACACTAAATGGTGTGTGACTGACTTGACTAAACACCTGACAATTCTCTTTCAAATGCATGATCATTTAAGGCGCATATTATGAATCTACAAAGTGAGATTTTTTTTAGTCAGAATAGAATATTACCCCATATTTAATTCATGCAAATCTGATGGTAACTGAGGAAAGAGTGTTTATATTTAATCTATTTTCAGTATTCCTGATGGTAATATATAATTTGATACATGCAGAAATGCCCATGCCATCTACTTCTGGAACTGATGAAAATAAGGAGGATTGACACAATGGATATCAATATAGGGAAATATTCATTAATACTTTTCTCACATATTTTTCTTATTATACAAACAAGCAAATTAAATTAGCCATTAAGATACACCTATCTATATTAATCCTGTGTTTATTAATGGACACCTTATGGATTTTCGACAGATTGTAGTAAAATCTAAATTGGTGACCAAAAAAGTAGAATGTGAATGCTAATCTGCCAAGTACAATAGTAGAGTGTTTACAAGCTGATGTGAAGTCAAACAATTGAACTATTTTATTAATTCAATTGTAATTCTCATTTGTTTATGTTGGATTTTATTTTATGAATAACTTATATGTGATCATTGAAAAATTAACCCTTAGGTCCTTTTTGACCATACATTAAAAAAAAATTTATTTTTGGGAAAAACTCCAGACAAATAGATAAACAAAAAAAAAAAAAAAACACTTGTAAATTTACACTGTAATGTAAAAATAAAAGACTTAATAATTATTTCTGTATTTTATTTCTTTATATCTAAATAAACGTCAAAAATAGTTTGAAACAGCGCGTTTAGCACTCCACGTTATCAGACGGACGTGAGCGACGTTACGTTAGTATCGTTTGAATATTATAAACCGTTTTAATAGACTGACACAATAATTATTGGCTGCGTTTGGCAGAAAAAAGCGCTAGCAAGCGCTTGTAAGCAAAATGGCGATCGTAAGCGGTAAGCGCTGTCAAATCGTAAGTAGCTATTTTCCTCCAGGACACGATGTTTGTTTTAACCGGGGAACCTAGCCTAATTTAAATATATGTTTGTAAAGTATTCATATTAAAAACTTACCAATCATGCATTTTTAATAACATGTATATGTCTATTCATGTCATTATATTATTTAAAACCAATATTGCACATAACAAATTATAAACTCTACTTCAAAACAAACAAATTAAATAAGCAAAATTGCGGATTGTGTCAGCGCTACTGAAGTAGCAATCGTGTCCTGGCCGAAAACTATTTCAGCGCTTGTAAGCGCTTGCTAGCGCTTTTTTCTGCCAAACGCGCCCAGTGTCAAATGATGACGTTATTTGCATTTGCCAGTGTACTGGGTTGTATTTCGGAACATACCCGTCGAATATTATTTTTTTCATTTATGATATTAGCTACAAGGCTATCAGCCAAAAATAATACATCATCATCCTACCGAAAGTCTTTTTTTGAAACAACGTTTAGGCCCGCCAAACACTACATACAAATAGAAACAAAACAAACGGACCACGCACATACGGAACCCTGTTTTGGCCGCAAAATTTCGATCGGAAAAATACCATAGGTGTGTGATGGGTCCTTGATTTTATATAGACTTCCTGCTTTCGGAATCCCGAATAGGAATTCTGAAACGGAATCCCGCAACGGTAGAACGTATGTATGCGGCGGGCCTTATGGCACATTTAGATTATCGGAAAAACAAGTAGCTGAATAACTCACCGAGTTACATACCCACAGAATTCCGTTTACGGATTCCGTTTCGGAATTCCGATTCGGGATTCCAAACGTAGCAAGTCCATATAAAATGAATGACCCGTCACACACCCAGGGAACTTTTCGGTACGAAATCGCATGCAAAACGGGATTTCGTACGTGTGTGGCCGACCCTTTCATTCCATTTCGCGGTATTCCTAAACGAACGAGCCTACACGATTGGAATCCCGCACAGAAAAAAGATACTCTAAACGCAAGTCTTTCTTAGATTTTGTATAAAACGCAACACACATTCAAATATTTTGTACGGAACGCGCCCAGTGTGAGTCGCACGACCGACGCGATTAGGTGATTTAGTACAGTAGTGAAGGATCATATTTTTTATCATGAAGAATACTTGTTGTGTTCTGCATAGCGAAAGCAAGCCTATTGATTTTATATTATATAGTTTTCCAAAGACTGTTATAGGACTCAAGCGGGTGAAAAATATCATTTGTGCAAGATAGAAGCAGCTCAGTTCAGATAAACTGCAGAAGTTATTTGTGTCTCATAAGTACATTATTTTGATAAGGAACTACATAAACCAGCAATAATAATATTGAAAATATAGTAGAGAAAGTGATAGCGGAGGTAATGAAAACCAGACTAATTCCTGTGGCACATCTGTTATCAGATCATCATCATCATCATCATCATTACAGCCCTTCACAAGTCCACTGCTGAACATAGGCCTCAACCAAGTAATGCCACAAAGCACGGTCCTGAGCCAGCTGCATCCATCGACTTCCTGCATGTCTTACCAGGCCGTTACTCCATCTAGTGGGGGGTCACCCTACACTACGCCTACCGGTACGAGGCTGCCACTCGAGAACCTTTCTTCCCCATCGGTTATCGGTTCTTCGAGCTATATGGCCGGCCCATTACCACTTCAGCTTACTAATCCGTTGGGCTATGTCGGTCACTCTGGTTCTACTGTGGATACCCTCTTTTCTGAGTTTATCACGCAGAGAAACTCCGAGCATAGCCCTCTCCACAGCTTGCTGAGCGACCTTGAGCGTCCTCATACGGCCAGCAGTGAAGAACCACGTCTCAGATCCGTAAGTCATCACTGGCAACACGCACTGGTTGTACAGTCTCGTTTTCAGAGTTTGAGGTATACCTGACGAGAAGATGTGTCATAATTTTCCGAACGCTGCCCAGCCGAGTTGAATCTGCCGATTGACCTCTCGGTCAAAGTTGAACTTACCTACTCGGATTATTTGTCCCAGGTAAACGTACTCATTAACAACTTCGAGCTTAGTGTCTACTTATTTTTTATAATTATATATACATACTTACAAAAAATCTTTTTTTTAAAATTCGGAATAGGTCCATTTATCGCATTCATAATACGAATCCAAGAATCATTAATAGCTTTTTGTCCTAGTGAAGAAGAGAGTGAAACCGATTTCTAGGATCCCATATCACGGGTTCTTCTTGACAAAGTTCTATAATTTTAATAGTGGATTCATTCAAATTCACTAATTCGTTGGCGACATATGGGTTACATTAAATCTTATTAATTTACTCCAATCCATCACAGTACGCAGGTATTTTTAATATTATTTTTTATTTATTTTATAAGAAAAATTATTATAACTACCTGCGACAAAGTTCACGAGTCAAGCGAATAATGATGAGTATGCAAAGCTCAAACACCGATAGGGTTACAAGAGCATTCCTTTGCTCGTGCAAAAAAACGGACATCAAGTGGGGAACCGGCGAATACTTAGGCCGGGGCTAATGGCGGGAACACCCGAACAAGGCGTTAAAATTTTTATATTCGTGCCTATTCTTCTGTGCTCGGAGAGTATCTAAACGTTGTATTAAATTATCATGCCCGAACGAATAATTCGTAAAGTCATTCGTGGACGGCGCAATTAACATTTTCGTCGGTATTTGTTCAACATCAATTATTTAAACATGGAAAATATCTGTCTCGTCGTTCCGATCTCGAGAGGAAGAGGAACTCACTTGGCTGGTCCGTGGTGTCTTCTCTCCCTACCACTGTAGTCAAGGTGGAGCGGGGGAAGAGGAGTGTTGGTATGGCGATGTGCAATACCAACACTCCTATCTTCCTTGACTCTGACAGGTCCGCACCATTGATGCTGTGGAGGGAGGGGGGGCCGCGGAGAAAGAGGAGTGTCGATATTGCGACGCTCGTTTGGGATGCTGGAAGTTGTCGAGTATGCGTGCGAGATGTTTCGTAATAACTCTCGTAATACAGCATATAGACTCGACTCAGAAGGGAAATTGGTGTGTTATTTTTCAAGAGAGCACTGACCACTTAAAGAACAAGGTCACTGCATTTCTCCTTAACGCCTCCGGTGTAGTGACACCATGGAAGACGGAATTAAAGAGCTTCTGAAAGACTTCAAGCACTAGTTTTCCAGTTTTCCGGTAGAAACAAAAGTTGGTTACATTCGTATCGTATTATGACCTTATTCAAATAAATAGTTTTAATAGTTAGGACATTTAATTTCGAAGTTAATCAGATTATTTAACAAACAGTTCGGCGTGTGAACACACATAACCACATCCACCCTATGAGAACCGAGAGAAAACAGGAGTGAACTATAAGCGCCCTTCCGCCGCCAATTAAGTTTCAACCGAGGAGTGTCAGTATTACGACGCACCGCTCTGTTTACTCTTTTTCATTGTAAAAAAATTTGCCTTTTTTTCTCCATGTAAAAAAGTCTCT